ATCACAGACCTTGAGGTAAAACCCCAAACTATTAGGGCCATCAATGAGGGAATTGGGACAAACCTGAGAACCTTCGCACAGGAAATACATAGGCTATCGTAAATAGGGAAGGACACAAACACAGAGGAGGCACAAATTGACAAGTGGGATATACTGAAGATAAAACACTTGTGTACATTGAAATAATTCACTGAGAGTATTAAGAGAGCCCATGAAGTGGGAAAACATCTTTAGCAATGACACATCAGACAAAGGCCTTATTACTAAAATCTACAATACTTTGCAAGCCTACAATAAGAAAAAAACTAGCTGCCCACTAAGGAGGTGGGCAAAGGACCTGAACAGAAGTTTCACAGGCAGAAATCCAAATGGCCAATAAACATATGAGAAAATGTTCCTGATCATTAGCCATAAGAGAAATGCAAACAAAATAACTATGAGTTACCACCTAACACCCTCAAAGATAGCCCAATTAAAAAAATCAGAATGTAGCAAGCATTGAAGGAGCTGTGGTGAGATAGAAACTCTTGTCCACTGCTAGTGGACCTGTAGGTATGTGCAGCCACTATGGAAATTCATTTGGCAATATCTAAAACATGGAAATTGAGCTACCATATGACCCAGCAATCCCCCTTCTGGACATATACCCAGAAGAGCCAAGAAACAAACCACGGCCAGACATCTGTGCTCATTGTTCATCGTGGCACAGTTCACAATTGCAAGGAGTTGGAAACAACCCACATATCCATCAACAGACAAATGGACCAAAAGACTGTGGTACAAACATGCAATGGAGTACTATGCACCCCTGAAAAGCAGTGATGAATGCATGAAGCACATTGCTGCATGGGAAGAACTGGAGGAAATCATGTTAAGCTAAGTAAGCCAAGCACAAAAGGACAAGTACAATATGAGTGCACTGAGGTAAACTTAAAAAAAGATGGGTCATAGGGGAAAAGCTACTACATACATATATCCCTGGGGTGAGGTCTGCTACTATGGCAGGGGCCAAACCCAATCTAGGGATATGTACAGCGGCCAACTAAATAGGAGGGGGAAAGAAAGAGAGAGAGATAAAAAGACAAGGGTAGGGGGCAAGCAGGGCACTAAACCACCCAAGGGGAGGCTATTGTTTATATCTCCACAGGCGGAGGTGGAGGGTGGGAGACAGACAGACAGACTAGGCTTCAACCCATTGCGCCAAGATGTGAATACAATATACCAGTATGTACCAAGGAACCAATGGAGAGTTCTGCAGGGCTGGCCCCAATCCCAACTATGTGGACATCACCCCCCACCCCTCCGAAGAATGCACTTCAGAGGACAGCACTGGGGCCACAGCTTGAGGAGAGGGGCTTGTCTAATTAGAGCACACGGGAGAAACAAAAAGGGATGGAGAGGGAGGGGAGGACATCCTGGCCCACCAACCCCCGAGGACAATATTCCTGCTTGGAGTAAATAAAGCACAGATAGGATCATAGGGCTGGCCCCACCATGAGACACAACGTCCCTCACTAAACCTTAGTGCTACGGGAGACAATATGGAGACACAGTGTGGGAATGTTGTACAATCTGACCCCATCACACTGTGGTGAAACACTAAGGGCATGCAACAGAGCAGCAAGGGGAGCAGAGTGATGAAACCCCCGAGGAATGACAATAATAGACTTTGGATACAGAGTGTGGCACCCCATCAGACTCAACTGGAAAACACTCGGAAAGACCAACAAACAGACCTTGAACTATTTATAGGCTTTTCCATTTTTGTCAGTGGCTTTCTTTTGGTTGTTGTTTTGGTTTTGTTTGTTGCTGTTGTTTTTATTGTTTTGTTGGTCTTGACTTCCTTTGTTGTTTTGTTTGGCCTTGCCTAGTTTTGGGGCTTATTAAGATCTCTGCATGTCTATCTAGATAAAATAGGTGGGATAAACAATTCAGAGGTGAAAAGAACAGGACCGATGATTCTGGGCAGATATGAGAGAAGGAGAGGTGGGAGAAAGGAAGGGAGGTGGGGCAACCCAGGGACAAGGGAATAAGAAGTTAACTAAAATGAATGGAGAAAAGGGTGTAGGGTGCCTAGTGGGGCTCAATCAAGGGCAATGTAGCAGCGAGGAATTACTAAACCCAAATGAAGGCCGAACATGATGGTGGGACAAGAGGAAAGTAAAAGGAAATAGAAGAAAGAACCAGGAAGCAAAGGACATTTATAGAGGTCTAATTACAGGCATGCACATATGTAAGTATATATATATAACAAGGGGGTAATAGAACTATGTACTCATATCTATATGTTAAGAATTAAGGTTGCAGATGGACATTGGGCCTTGACTCAAGTACTCCCTCAACACAAGAACACTTTGTTCTAATAATCTGACATTCTGTGATGCTCACCTTCCCGACATGATTGCTGAAGGCAAAATGAGTACATAAGCATATATGGTGAAGAAAGCTGATGGTGCCTGGCTATCAAAAGATATAACGTCTCGGGTCTTAAAGACCTGAAGATAAACAAGGGGCCATCTAGCTGAGAAGCAAGCAACAAAGCCCACATGGAAGAAGTACACCAGCCTGTGTGATCGTGAGGTGTCGATGGGATCAGGTATCAGGCATATAAGACCCAGAACAAAATCATACCCATTGTGAATGGTGGTGGGGCTATCTGTAGACAATTGGACATCCCTCACAGAGGGGTCACAGGGAAGAGATGAGCCTGTCAGGGTGCAATATAGCACCAATGAAACACACAACTTTCCTCTAGTTCTTGGTTGCTTCCTTCCCCTCACTATCATGACCTCAATTCCACCTTTCATATCAGATTAGACCAGACCATACACACTGCTACAGACAAGAGCCCACAACACAAGGAATCCAGGGTAGATAAACCCCTTAAGGCCAACAATGAGAGTAGAGATACCAGGAGGATTAGAGGAGGGTGGGGGGGAGAAAGGGGATCACAAGGATCAACCTATAACCCCCTCCCAGAGGGATGAACAATGGAAAAGTGGGTGAGGGCCTTTGGAGGATGATGTAAGATATTGAAAAAATATAACTTATCAAGGGTTCGTGAGGGAGGGCGGGCGGGGGAGGGAAGGGGAAGAAATATCAGGGGCTCAAGTGGGAAGAGAATGCTTTGAAAATGATGATGGTGGCATATCTGCAAATGTGCTTGACACACTGGATGAATGTATGGATTGTGATAAGAGATGTAAGAGCCCCCAATGAAAGTACTTAATAATAATTTTAAAAATCTAAGTTCCATCAACCAATTCCATGAATGTATCTAAAAGAAGCTTTTGTTTCTTCTTAAATTTCTTATTTTACTCCAGGTCAGTAGTCCTTTTCCTTAAAATTCCAAGTGTGTTTTAAATGTTGGGGTCATTTTGTATAATTTGTATTCAAACTTCATATATTTGTCTGTTTGATAAGAAACTCTGTATTCCATCTGCTCTTTCTCCAAGTTAACTGTGATTCCCATGGTATCTCAATTCTTCATTTACAGCCCAGTTCCTACAATGCCTAAGATTCTCTTCCCACTAACTCAGCACGAATATACCTGAAATATTTTCTCCTCTTCTGAAAATGACATATTTTTCTACCAGATCATTTCAAATTCTCACTAAATCCAATTCCCCTAAAGTTGAAATTTTTAATATGAATGTTTTGTTCTGTTATTTTAACATTTTGCCGTGAAAGTTCACAGCAAATTTGATTCCCATTCAGCAATTCACACACATGCTGTTTTGTGGTCTTGGTTGCTGTCCCCACTGTGTGCCAGCACACTCCATGTTTCCACTTTGTTTTCCCTCTTTGCGTCCTTCAATTGCCCTGCTCCTTCTTTTTTTGCTTTTGGGAAAATGTCCTTTGGTCTTCTCTAGTAGATTGTTTTATATTTCTGTAGCAATTTCAATCTATCCAAACTAAATTTAGCATTTAACTATATCTTGTCTCCATGCAAGTGCCTACATAGTTAGACTTTTTTCAAAGTGTGATAAGTATATTTGTAGCAAAACATTTCACATGTCAATATTTTTCACATGGACAGTTCAGTGACGTGTTCATTGCTGCTCAATTTTCACATGTATCTTTACCCAGTTATATCAGAAGTCTTTAGAAAAACAGTGTCCTCTTATCATTGAATTATTTCTCCTTCTCTATTGTCTGCTGTTTTTAGTAATGAATAATAAAATTGTGATGTGCGTATGTTTCTAAATTTCAAACACAATTGGGCTCATGTAATTTTGTCCTTTGTGACTGACATTTCACTCAGCATAATGTTTTCAAAGTTTAATTATGTTATAAAATGTGTTAGGATTTCAGTTATCTTTTTATCTGGGTATCAGTATATTGGATATATATAGTAGATATTGTTTATGCATTCAACTACTGATGGGCATTTAAGTTGTTTCAAAACTTTGGCTATTGAAAATAGTGCTCCATTGGTGAACATTGATAAACACTGGTGAACGTTTGAATCTTTGCATATAGGTCTTTGGTGTATATATTTAGGAGTGGAATTGCTGGGTCATACAATAGTTCTTCTATGAGATTGACATGGCCTTGGTGGTATAGTGGGTTACAGACTGGGCTGCTAACCTCAAACTCTGTCGTTAAAAGCCACCAGGCTGGTGCTCTGAAGAAGAAAGGTGAGACATTAGAAAATTACAGTCTCCGAGTGGGCAAAATAAAAAGGAGGGGGAAAATGGTATGGTGTTAGAAACCCACAGGAAGAGAGTTCTACACTGTCCTACAGGGTCACTATGAGTCAGAATTGACTCAACAGCAATGAAGGTTTTATTTTTTTTTTATATACGTTAATTCTTATGTTTAAATGTTCACCATAGCAATAAGCACAGATTATCACTTTGCTCAGTTATTACCTTGTAATTGACATACTTATTTAGGCAGTGGTATCATTTGATGCAGGGACACCTGATGTCATTGCCCACAAAGTTAGCCTGCCATTGTTAATGATTTTCTTCTCTCTTCTCTCTTCCCAACCACAGCATGTGCTTTCCGATACAATGGGCTCTCGTTTGTCTACCTTATCTACCTCTTACTCATTCCTCTGTTCTCAGAACCAACAAAAGCAACAATGCAAGGTAAGGACCATTTATTTTTCCATCTCCAAAGTTATATAATCTGAAAGTATCTGAGCTTTCTAGATGAGCATTTTTCCCAGTGAAAGATGATGGTGTCTCCAGTGGCCTACAAATGGGCTTTGGGTCTCCACTCCGCACTCCCCTTCTCATTCGCTATGGTAAGATTTTTTGTTACCTGATGATGCCTGATACCTGATCCCTTCGACACCTTGTGATCGCACAGGCTGGTGTGCTTCTTCCATGTGGGCTTTGTTGCTTCTGAGCTAGATGGCCGCTTGTTAACCTTCAATCCTTTAAGACCCCAGATGCTATATGTTTTGATAGCCGGGCACCATCAGATTTCTTCACCACATTTGCTTATACACCTATTTGTCTTCAGCGATCGTATCATGGAGGTGAGCACACAATGATATGATTTTTTGTTTTTTGATGCCTGATAATTGATCCCTTTGTCGTATGTATGGATTGTGATAAGAGTTGTATGAGTCCCTAATAAAATGATTAAAAAATAAACAAAATAAAATAAAAAAATAGATAAATAAATTTCCTTATTAAAAAAAAAAGATGATGGTGTCTATGTAACAGGGACCATGACATGGTGATGGTGGGCGGAGGGAGGGTGTTAAAAATTCTAACAAGTGAACCAATGGTGCAATATAGAAGTTGTGATAACATTTTAACAGGTAAGCAGCACTCTTTCTGCTTAATTTCCTTATTAAGTCTTTATCATTAGGCATGGTAGTCTATCTGGAATGTTTGGACTAGTTAAGTGAAACTAAAATTTCTGACCCCCAAAGCAAAACTAATATATTGACAGATCCTGTATCATGGTTTTAGAGGTCATTCTTCAAAGAAAAAAACAAACTTCACAATATTCACAATAAAATGCTTTAACAAGGAGTATCTTTACAAATCCTACGAAGTTATTTATTCCTTTTATATCTAGGTATTTCCTTATTTTATTAGAAATCAGGAACTGGTGTTTCCTTTTTGGCATTTACTTGGCAATCCATGGCTATTGCCTTCTTTCTAATCTAAGTTTGGAGAAGATAAACCTTTATTTCTACCAGTGTTTCAGTGTCTGCAGGAACATGAATACTCACCCATGTCAGATAATATAACAATGGGACTCCCAGTTCTTGTCCAGGGGTGCCAGGGACTATGTGGCCAAGAAAGTCAAGCCATAGGTGAAACATTGGATCAGAAGTAGAAAGCAAGTCCTTCGTATGTGTTGAAATATCCTGATTGACCGATAGTCCATTTGTTTAACAATGTTAAACAAAGGAGAAGTAAGTACATAGACACTGCTGATACTCTCCTTTTAAGAAAGGAGGGAGAGCTGGGCTCAAAGGGGAGACCTACAGGAATCCTCCTACTTAATATCTGGAGACAGAGGTTCATACTATTTATCTTTCCTGTATGTCAGAGCCAAGAAATAGAACTGTTAAAACATAATGGATATGGGATGATATAATGTAGTTTTTAGGTTTGTTTCTTTGTTTATCCTGGGGTAGAATAACTCATAGAAAAGACAGCAATTTTTATTCCCCTGAGCACATAGGATTCACATTCAATTGGCAATGCTTTTTTTTCCTTCAAGTTTCTTTAATTTTCTCTGTGTGGTAAAATAGCTATAATACAGAATCGTCTATTTAGCTATATTAAGTGAACATCAATTCACAATATTTGACAACCATTACCACTATTTGATTCCAAACCCTTTCACCAGCACAGGCAGAAGCTCTATAACCATTAAGTAATAATTTTCCATTTCCCTTTAGCCCCAATTCCTGGTAGCTAAATTCCTCCAATCTACTTTCTGTAGATTTCTCTAGAGTTCATATGATAATGGGATAATATTACACTTATCCTTTATATCTGACTTATTTTATTTAGTATGTTTCCTAGGTATTATGTAGCATATATTAGAACTTTATACCTTTGTATGACTTAGTAATGTTCAAATTTATGTACATATTACATTTCATTTACTCTATTGATGGACATTTGGCTGTTTTCACCTTTGGGCTACTGTGAATAGTGCTGCAGTATCCATTAATATACAAGAATCTGATTGAACCCTGCTCTAATTTAACTTGGGTACATAATCAAGAGTGGAATTATTGGGTAACAAGTTAAATCTCTAAGATTGTGTAGATCAAAACAGTTTATGGACACATTTAAGAAAAATGGATATTCCAGAACACTTCATGGTGCTCATGTAGAACTTGTACATGGATTAGAGCTGGTTGTGTGAATGGAACAGGGAATACGTCATAGTTTCAATATAACCGTGGGGTCATATTCTCTTATTATGCTTATTTAATTTGTATGCTGAGCACATCATCAGAGAAGTTGGCTCATGTGAAGAAGAATTGGAATCGAAGGAAGCCTTATTAACAATCTGTGATAAGCAGATGACAATAATCTTGCTCGCAGAAAGTGAAGGAGACATGGAGCACTTGCTGATGAAGATCAAGGATGGCAGCCTTCAGTATGGATTACAACTCCATGTTTAAAAGGCCCAAATCCTCACAAGTGGACTACTGGGTAACATCAGGATAAACAGAGAAACTATTGAAGTTGTCCAAGATTTTATCTTGCTTGGATCCATGATCATTGCTCATGGAAGCAGCAGTCATGAAATCAAAAGATGGTTTGCATTTAGTAAATCTAGATATCTTTAGAATGTTGAAAAGCAAGGATGTTACTTTGAATACTAAGATGTGCCTGGCCCAAGCCATGGTATTTTCCATGGGCTCATGTGCATGTGAAAGTTGAACATTAAATAAAGAATAGTGAAGACGAATGGATGCATTTCAATTGAGTTGCTGGAGAAGCACAATGAACAAACAGTGCCTGCTGAAAGTGTGAGCAGATGTGTCCTGGAATAAGGAAGATTAGAGTGCTCCTGAGAGGCAAGGAGGGCAAGATTTTGTCTTACATATTTTGGACATATTATCAGGACAGACCAGTCCCTGGAGAAGGACGTAATGGTTGGTAAACTAGAGGGGCAGCACAAAAGGAGAACTCCGTCATGGAGATGGATTGACACCGTGGCTGCAACAACGGGCTCAAACATAAGAACAATTGTGAAGATCGGCATGAGCAGTGTTTTGTCCTGTTCTGTTCTGTTGTGCATAAAGTCAATGCAAATAGAAACCAGCTCCAAGGCACCTAACACAAACAATAATTTTTATATCCCATTGTGCACAAAGCTACAAGAATAGCAGTCTAGCAGTGCTTTCATTGTGGATAGTGACGCCCTCAGCTCTCACTGCAATGGATCCTAATGTACATTGCCCAGAATGTCTTAAGTCTTACTCTTTAGGACTATGGTACTCCCCTACTGCCTGGAGTATTGTTGATGGCTGAGAGCTGTATTCATCACTGAGTTTTGTTATTAACGTCAAAGATCTTCCTCATCTAAAGTTATGAGGGAAGTGGTAGCCCACATTCAAGGAGTGATTATTGTAGGAATTGCTCTGCTGTGTTCTGGTCCGGGTCTGCAGGTCTGCCTCAGCTGGGGAAATCATTGTGGGGTCAGCTCAAACTGCGTCTGTACCTGCAGTGCATTGCCATCTCTCCCTCTCTCCAAGTCTGTTTCCCTCCTGCCCTCACACAGAATGCACCTCCTCGTGAATAGCCTATTTTCACAGCTTCATCTCAGAGTCTTTTCCTGTGGCCTGTGAGAATCATCGAACACAGCGGTTCTCAACCTTCCTGATGCCACGACCCTTAAATACAGTTCCTCATGTTGTGGTGACCCCCCAACCATAAAATTATTTTTGTTGCTACTTCATAACT